TGAATATTATAATTAAAAAAAAATACATTATTTTAAAAACCTGTTTTTATTGTTTTTCAGTATGACGCGCCTTATTCATCAATTTAACGATTTGAGAGGGTATTCTACATTGGAAAAGACAGAAAAAAATCAATTTCAAAATCGTTCTAGAACGTTATCATAAAGAAAAAACATAATTTCGGAAAAATCGCCTGTTTTTAATGATTATAATAAACATGAGGTGTTATTTTTTCCGTATATACACTCTTATACACCTCTATAAAGTATATAAATTCCGGCGTTTTTGAAAAAAAAATATTTTCTAATTTTTCGTTTTTTTTTTTAGGATTTATTCAAAAACCAAAATAGATAGGGGTCTAAAATTTTCACGATTAACTTATCTCATTAGCACCAATATCATCATCATGATAAGGTCGTCAGTCCTATGACTGGTTGGACACGCACCTCCACTCTTTCCTATCCTGAGCTAATCTTCGCATTTCCCTAAACTAGAGCAACCCATATCCTTAACTATAGGGTTGTTCGGAAAGTCATTTCGTTTTTCTTTATGGAAATGAAAGACAGTTTTCGTATAATAAACAAATACTTTATTAAATTGTATACTGACCGTTCTGGTCCAACACCTTTTGCCATCTTTCTGGTAGTAGCATAATTCCACGCTCATAAAATTTTTGGTCTTTGCTGGCAAAAAACTGATCGAGGAGGTTTTTGACCTCCTCATTTGAGGTGAAGGTTTTACCGTCTAAAAAATTTTGGAGTGACCGGAACAAATAATAATCCGATGGTGCCAGGTCTGGAGAATATGGTGGGTGTAGCATTGTATCCCATTCAAGCTGTAAAAGCTTTTGGCGAGTGACCAAACTTGTGTGAGGTCTCGCGTTGTCTTGGTGAAACACTACACCTTTCCTGTTGATTAGTTCTGACCTTTTCTGTTGAAGTGCATCATTCAGTTTGTCCAGCTGATGACAGTAGACTTCCGAATTAATCGTTGTGTTATCCGGTAAAAGCTCAAAAAAAACGATTCCTTTAAAATCCCACCAAACAGACAGCATCACCTTTTTTTGGTGAATATCGGCTTTGGAAATGGTTTGAGCCGGTTCATCTTTTTTGCTCCATGACCTCTTGCGTTTGACGTTGTTGTATACAACCCATTTTTCGTCCCCAGTGATGATGCGCTTCAAAAACGGATCATTTTCGTGACGTTTGAGAAGCGAATCGCAGACGTCAATGCGGCGACACAGATTTCTCTCTGTGAGAACATGGGGAACCCATACATCGAGCTTCGAGGATAATCCCAGGCCTTTCAAGTGGTCATAAACTGTTGAATTTGATAAATTTAACCTCAATCCGATCTCACGTGTTGTTATTCGCCGGTTCACATCAACTAATGCCTTTATCGCGTCTTTATCAGCTTCAACCGGCCTTCCCGAACGTGGTGCATCTTCGACATCAAAATTGCCGGATCGAAATTTAGCGAACCAGTTCTGGCACTGGCGTACTGTCAACACACCTTCTCCATACACATCAGTCAATTTCTTTCTGGCTTGAACAGCATTTTTACCCTTTCTGTAGTAAAACAGTAAGATATGTCGAAAATGCTGCTTATCGCTCTCCATATTTAAAAGGGCACCAACCAAAAACTACTGCGTAGAATTAATTGGAATTTTTCACACACAAGCCTTGCTATATGAGCTCTCAAAGCATATAAAAATTATACGGCTTAAATGTGAAGTTGGGTGCAAAAGAATACAATTAAATCCTCTGTCGGGAAAAAACGAAATGACTTTCCGAAACACCCGATATTTGCGAACAGTCTAGGTCTACCTCTACCCCTCCTAACTTCGGTTTCTGCCTCTAATATGTCTCTGTCTAGACTTTCATGTCTGAGAAGATGTCCTATCTCGTTTATTTCTTATTAACTTCCATAAAGTCCTCTGTTCTCTTACTCTGTGTAATACCTCTTCATTTCTAACCTTCTCTATCCACGATATCCTCATCATTCGCCTGTAACGCTTCTAACCTTTTCTTTTCCGCCGCGCCCACTATCCATGTTCCGTACAGCGCCGTACTTCAAACTTACACCTTTAACAATGTTTTTCGAATTTCTAAATTAATCGTTCGTGAGCATAGAAGTGACTTTTTTTTTTTTATATCGCTATTACTTCTTCCGCCCTGACTTATCTGACTTCCTAGATACCTAAAATCGGCCACTTCTTCTAATGTTTCGTCTCCTATCTTTATATTCGCTCTTTCCCTACTTTTTCTTCCGTTGCATACCAGTATTTTTGATTTACTTTTATTGTTGTCAATACCGCTTCCATTTTATTTAAAGCTATCTCTCCTCCTTGCTAGATGCTAATACTGCTATATGATCTGCAAATCTAAGCATACTAATCTTTTGCCCCTGTATATCTATCCCTACAGTTGTACTGTCTTTAATAATGTTGATCGCATCTTCGATGTATAGATTAAAAAGTAGCAGTGACAGTGTGCATCCCTGTCTGACTCCCTTCCTAATAATTACTTACTACGTATATTTACCTTACGTTGCAGCCTCATCTCTATAACTGCCTGTTGCTCTTTATACAAACTAAGTATCAATCTTCTATCTTTATAACTTATCCCTAAATTTTTAAGTATACTTAACATCTTGTCCCATTTAACATTTTTAATAGCTTTTTCTAAATCTACAAATCCTATGTACGCACTCTTTCTTTTTTCTATCGTTTTCTCCATTGTTACCCGTAAAGCTAGAATGGCCTCCCGCGTTCCTTTATTTCTTCTAGAAACAAATTGATTTTCCCCTAATAGTTCTTCCGAATTCTTCTTATCAATCTTCATCTATTCTAGTTAAGATTTTTGACGCATGCTAAGCTAAAATTATTGTTCTAAATGTCTTGCACCTATCCGCGCCTCTCTTTTCAGGTATGGTTACTACCACGTTCCGTTTATAATCTTCTGGAATTTTCCCCGTCTCGTTATTGTGACTTACTAGCTTAAACATACGATCTCTAACATCTTGTCCTGCATGTTTTAGAATTTCCCCCTGTATCCCATCTACACCTGGCGCCTTATTATTAGTTTTTTAATGCTACATCGAACATTTCTCACATTATGAGATAACCTCGCTATCATCCTTCTCTAATATATCTTCTAATTCAGGGCCTGCGTGTAGGTTCTCTAAATATTCTTTCCACCTATCTGCCTTTTCGTCATTTTCTATCGAAAT